TTTTTAAAAGTGTCAAGGACCTAACATGGATGAAATACTTCTTGAAGCAAACATGTTTGGGTTAAAAATGCATTTTGACCCGCTTAAATGTCTAATGTAATTTCTAAATAGCAAAGTAGATGTCCTTTCCTCTTCAAAAATGACCCGCTTCTGCTTCAAACTTATTGTTTCTGTTTTCCTAAACACAGCCCAAAATCTTTTGGTTCAAAAACAATGTGGACCTTTCTGGAGATGCCAAGTATCGCATGTTCAGTAAGCATGGAGTGTTGACTTTGGAAATCCGCAAGCCCAGCCCCTTTGATGGAGGCGTTTATACCTGCAAGGCGGTGAATGAATGCGGTGAAGCAGAAATAGAGTGTCGATTCGATGTTAGAGGTACTAAAGAGGATTTAATAGATCTATTACTTCCTAAAAGAGAAGGCTTTGAATTTGTATCCTTTAAAGGTTAACTGTGCAGTTTCATTTTCCTTTTGGATACTAAAAAATGATGGACTTATGAAGACTTATCTGCATGCAAACTGGGCAGGTGATTTACTCATTGCATACCTTTGTTTGCAAAGCTTTTTTTTTAGCAATGGTTCATAGCGGTTTTGTATTCCAATTCCAATGCAGAGAGAAAGGAATTTTAAGGTAAGGAAACACACACACTTTATGTCTGCCCTGTCTTTTTATGTTCCAATATGCATTTCATACCTTTTCTTCCACAAGCTGCAGATGAGGAACAACGTGGCATCATAACTTATGCCACATGTACTACATTCACTAGCAGAATCTCATAAAGTGGCACTTGTGTTCCCTGTGTACAGCAAATGAACCTTTTTTATTACGGGTACAATGACTTCCTGTACAGATCTGCAGCAACAGAGCTGCTGCTGAATTTACATTACTGTATCCCATTTCTGTGTAAGGAAACTGATTAAAGGCATCAGGGCAGAACAGATCAGGAGAAGGCTGAATATGCAAGACTTTGACCACAAGCAAAGCATGTGAATGTGACGTAGTAAGGGGCAGCAGACCAATTTATCTTCCAAACTCCAAACAAAACTTATCCTAAAAATAGAAGTGTGACATCAACTGGGAAATCAATCTCAGTATTTTATAATAAATAGTTAAAATGAATTGTTAGCATACATGAATACATGTATTGATGTTTCTCATTGCTTATTTCTTATTTTGGTATCTACAGCACCACAGTGAAATTCTAAAGAACTGGATATCAACAAGCCCAGATACAAAACCGAATTGTTTTATCAAACAAAAACAAACTTGAACATCTGGGAAAAATTGGAAGAGTCCAGCAACATGGAGAAAAACCAGAGAGATGTGTCAGCCCCTCAAAATCCTAAAATAGCTTCTGGATGTCAGAAATGCTCATCACTCCTGCTGCCAGGGAAATTACAGAATGAACTCAATTCATTTCTTGATGCAGTTTCAGTCTCTTGTGCTGCTTTGCTCCCAATGAGTAAGACTGTTGTTCTTGATAAGAGCTTCCACATACTCCCAGTTATAATCTTGCCAACCTAACAATGTTTGGTTACTAATGGTTTTACAACAGTAGACCCTGTTTGACAACAAGTGGGATATGTGAGATCTATAGAAAGAAAATCCACACCAAATGCATTCATCAGTTGTTGTTTTTAAAAAAACAAGTCTATTTGGGAATGAGACCACTTGCATCATTACATTGTGACTTAGTGCATATGCTTAAGCCTCACGTGCAAACAACTGGAGTGTAATTTTTCAAACTCTTGTTGTTTTTAATACAATATTGGCAGATAACTTTGGAAGCAACGATGAAAGCCTTCTAAAGGATGTGGCTGTTTTAAGAATTCAACTAGAGGTGCTCTACATTCCTTGGGAAGCACCTCTTTTGATGACTTTGTGCAGCTCTCCAAGGAACAATTTTCTGCTTGTCTTTAAAAATTGTTATCTAAGAGTTGAATTGGAAAAAATGATCGGGGCAAGATAATCTGTTGAGTTTATTTTTATTGTTTGTTAAACACCCTTAATGTAGTCTATTTACACATGGATTTTGCCAGCATAGATTTCACTTTTTAATCAAACAAATGGGTTTTATTTTTCTGAGCGTATAGTTTGAATTCAAAAATAGCAGGTTTTTGCATTATAGCTAAATTGCACAGACACATTCCTTTAGGAAAATCACTTATTCAGTAACAAACTGTGGGAGATAATGAAAATTGAAGATTTAATTGCAATGCAAATATTAAATTTGCATTGCATTTGCAAATTTAAAAATTAGGGAGTTTTAAATACTGCTAGATTAATTTGAATAATTTGTATAGAAAGATGTACGTGAATCCTGGGGCTGTTATCAGACACAGCCCTCAATACTTTCAGGAAGCAAATTAAGATTCTACCCCACTTCTTGGATCAGCCAACATGACTGGGCACTTTTTATCTTACCAGGTCCCAACCTCCTCCTGCTGCAATGATTGGCAGAAAACTTTGCCAGTCATAGGAGACATTAAAGACCTGACATAATGAAAAGTACCTAGAGATTTTGGGTTCAAGTATTCCTTATGTGGATCCGAAGCCACATCTGGTACTACATTAAGCACACAATCGGATACATACTAGTCTGAAAGAAAGCCTCAATGATCTCAGTTTTTCAGTTATGGATAAACATGTATAGAATTCTGCTGTTAAGAGATTGATCCTTAGTCTTCCATTCATAACTATAATTTGAAAAATAAGAGTAACATTATCTTATGGCTACTATTCCATTTTTCAAAGTCAATTCAAAAATTATTTTACAACAGCATCAGAAACTTTTAAGAAAGCTCTGTCCCCCCTTTTAACACATAGAGAATATATTCCCTGCGTATTTAGAAAAAAATGTACGTTTATAAACAGTGATATAAATACCGGTATATAAAGTACCAAAAATGTTTGTTCCATTTTCCAAACACAACACTGTATGCATAATGAAACCGCATTGCTTCTGCATAAAGAAATAAATACAATAGAAACTTCTCCTTTTCCATTTGGTTTTCAGAATAGTTATTCTCCTAGGCTGTTTGTGATTTCTTTGTCTACAAAGCATAAAAGAGGACTACCTCACATCCATAGTTCATAGAAAGTCGCAGACCCCTGCCTGAGAATAAGTCAATAAGGGAGTGCAATTTTTTTGAGCTTCCAAAGGCTACATGAAACAATGGCTCGAGTTCTATATGCCCATCAAGGGTATCATCGAAGATAATAAACTTCAGGTCAGACATGATTTGTGGCCTCAGCTGGTGTCGATCCCTCCTCACTGATGCTCACCCCCACCACTTCCATCCTTTATCTTAGAATTGTAATTGCAAAATCAAAACAGAAGAAAATTCTTACAATATGTTGTTCCCCTTTCATTATAAGAAAGTATTATAATCACAGAACAGTAAAAAATTAATGCAAAACATAATATTGCAGCCTGAACACAGTTGCTTCCAGTCTCCCATCTATATATCCAAGAGGGTGGCAACAGCAAAACCAAGAAGACTTTAAATAAAATAATATTTATTTGGTCAATGAACAGAAACATTTGAAAATATACTACCCAAAAGTATAATCAAATGAGTGAGCTAAAATAAATAAAGTAAAATCCTAGCATAAGAAGGAGTCTCTAAAATTAAAATAAAATATGCATTACTATAATCTATTACTTTCCTGTCCAAGTATAAATTTAAAATAATACATAGCTATGCTGAAATGATTTTAAGGTTACAATCTACTCCATTTTAAGAGAAGAATCCAGAGACATCAAAGTCCAACTACTGATATTTTCCAGAAGCTAATCAAAGGTCAGACATTTTTTTAGGACAACAAAGCAACTTAGAAGTCCTTACTTTTGAGGACACATCGCAACCTAAAATGGCATGTAGTAATGAAGTGGTAAGCTATTTTGCATCCACTTTTGCAATTATTCTTCGATTGAAAGGAATGACAAGAAGCAAACTAACTGAAATACTTGGTCTAAAAACAACTAATAACTTAAGATAACCAACCAGCGAGTAACTAAGTATTTAATTTGTATATTAAAAATAATATACAGTATGGGAAGAGAAAACAAAGACAACCAGAATCCACTATGCTGAAAGAGAAAAAAATAGTAATTCAAGCAAAGAAGCTAAGAGTATTTTCTTCATTATGATCAACAATGATCTTAAAATGAAAAATAATATGAGTTATGTACCAGTACAATGTTTATCAAGGCAGTCTAAGGAAAAGCAATAAAAGCAATAACTGCATAATGGCTTTTATTTTTTATATTGCATTTCAGTTGACTATGTAACTTACTTCATGTTGAAGTGTTACAAAGTTATAACATAAGGCTAAAAAATAAAGTGAGCTTACAGATGGAAGCTTTGCTCTGTTTTCCTTATGCAGTATAAAAAAAACCCAAAGGTTAAGAAACACCGTACTAGACTATAAACTGATTCACACATCCCTTTCAATTTCTGTACATTAGCTAAGATAGGCTTAAGCACTGGCAAAACTAGTGAGAATACATAATTTCACTTTTAAAATGAACTTAGTGAAAATAATGGAACATTTTGCAATCTTAAATATTTTTTACACTACGATTTTGGAGCAAATAATTGATTTGCATAATATTTCATAGTGGATCACAGATACAAAACTGCAACCTGTTGAACTCCATGCTGTTCAAAATTTACCAAATCTGCTGTAGGGTGAAAAATGTAAGAAGAAATATCCACCTCATTTCATTATAAGTGTGACACTAAGTTTGAATGACACCAAGTTTGAATTTTCTGCATCAGCTGTCTTTTTTATAAAGACATCATAAAGCTATATTGAGGTGCTTTCGTATTTAATCAAAATCTGTGAATCATAAATGCCCCCTCTTCCTAGATGGTTCAAATGAGAGTTAAATTGTGTATTTTAGAGATGGCCCCTTCAGTTTGAAGTCATGCATATGGTACACAAGACTAATAAGATTTCACAAGAGGCAACAGTGGTTTAATTGCATTTTATTTTAACATTCAGACAACTGTACACTTTTCTATAAATATATGTGGTACTGAAATATGTACATTTCTTCCCCCCTCCCACCCTTTATAGTGCAGTCATACAGATTAAACTGTGCAGAACAAGCTGAACATTCCTAAAGGCATGTTGCCAAGAAATGTTATCACTTCTGTGGTACTTTAACATTAGCCAGAGAAGTCTGCCAGATGTTCTGCAGTTTCTTCCCTACTGTAAATTTTCTCCTTCAAGTACCTTGGTGTATTTTTGCATTAGAATCCAGTGTAGTCCATGAAAAGTAGAAAGACAATTCATTTATTTTTCATCCTACTCAACAATTGTCAAATGGAAATTTACCAGAAAAGGAAAATTCATTACACAGTGACATTTTTTGCTTTTTAAAAATAAACATTAATAGACTGACAAAAGCCGTAGCTAAAGGGAGACGTAAAATGAGAAGATACAGTGCTACTGATACATTTGTGCATGCTTACAACTTTTAAATAACTGGATGTATCTCTAACAGTACACTGCACACACTCAGGCTTCACATGAATATCTCATACATTCAAGCCAATCATACTGTCTTGGTTTTGGTGGCTTTTCTCCTGTCCTCATTTAATTCTATACACTTATCATAAAGAAATCTATTTATGTCTATGAGTATATACTAGTGAACTGAACTGGAATGTCAGCAAAATTGTTGTCTTCTGTTTAAAATAGTATGTACAGTACATGCATACTGATCATTAGATCACTATTTAATCACCCCTGCATTATGATCTTTAGCCATTCCTTTGATGACACAATGACAGAAAATATACATATATTCCAACCCTTGATGGGGAAAGGGTTGAAGAAGTCTACAAAAGGGCTATTGACCAGGATTCTCTAATGACAACTTAGACATGGAAAAACAAGGAAATAAAAGTAAGCATCTGAACAACAGCACCAGTGGGTGATCCAGGCAAGAGTCAGTGGCTTGCACAATGCACACAATAAAAAAATCTGAAACAAAAGACATATGCTTATCAATTAAATAAACCATATATAACTGCCAATAAAAATAAGGGAATGTCATGTGAGCCATCTCGACAAACTAGATACAAAAGAGAAGGTGATAAACAGAATGCAACTGCTTAGAAGAATATCCTAAGCACAGGCCTGAATGTGCTTATGAAAGTTTGATTTCCATAAAGTGGATCTGCAGGCTAATATGCTCAAATGAATGGGGCCATATACAAAAAGTTTTCGTGTGAGCCTGTATAACCGCAAAAGAAAGGAGAAAATTGCATGGCAATGCCTTTCCCAACAAAAACATTGATCAGCTGGACACCGGACGAGGTGGTTTGCTTTTGCTTTCTACCTCTTTCCCACGCACTGCTGCCACATAGGAGAAGAGACACAATACCGAATAGCAGATCTCATGAGCCTAGAAGACATTAAAAAATAAGATAATCAGATGCTGGGTAGCAAGGTATATGTAGATGTACAGTTTCCTTACTTCTAGAGCAAGTATAAAATGAAATGCAATGATGAGACATAATGTCTTGATGTGGACAATTCATCCATCTCCACCACTGACAGGAATAAGCAGTACACAGCATTTTATGTTTGTATAATTTAAAGTCCAATGGTCCAATGAATTGTAAATTTTGTTTACAGTTGAATCAGTTTGGAAATACCTTCACCTGTACTAAATCCAAATAGAATTTAATTTCTAAGATTAAATTCTAAAATCCCAAATATAGCAGCAAATATAGAGAGGAATGGTGAGAAGGTGAGATATGAACTCTCGTGGAGTTTGCTGGTATGTACTCATAGTTTCATCTCTAAAATTGGGGAAAGATATTTTCATTCCTCAGTTCAGGGTCCTCTTTTTATACGACATCTTTCTTCTAACTAAATGACTTTATAAAAGTTAGTTAATAAATACTCTCCTAATCTCTATTCACTGCACTGGCAATAATTAGTTTGGATAATGAAACATCTGCAAGAAAACAGCCAAATTCAGAGAGCACCAAGAACCCCTAATCCCTATTCAATCTTACTGTTTGCCTTCCGCCTGTCCCCCAAATCCTTTGTAGAGTAAGATGTGTAACTTTGTATGACTTTATACTTTTGCATAGCAATGTAATGTTTAAAGGAAGTGTTATTTAAATTTTGCCTATGCATGCAGTATTGTACATATGTTCTAAATGTTAAGTGAAAAGTGTCTTTCTTACATTTGATAATAATCCAAATATTCTGCTCGTATTTCAGTTTTCTGGTATCCTTTCACAGGTACAATAAATAATTTCAAAATAATTAAAATATCTTATGCCATATACTATGGCCCAACAAGTCTGTAGAATAAAAACCAGCATTCTAACCTTAATTCATAGGACTTTGGGTGAGAATTATTAATATATTTATGCTTCAAATGACTCCATGATGTGTAACTTTGTATGACTTTATACTTTTGCATTGCCATGTAATGTTTAAAGTGTTATTTTAAAAATACACAAATTAAGTTACATTTACATTGCTAGTTTACAAAGAACTACTTTGAAAAAGGAGATAGAAAAATAATTTTTTAATCATTGGTAGTTCTACTGCCATGTTAATTAAGTTAAAGAGATCAATATTTAAGCTACATCATAGGCATAAATCTTGCTTAATAGTACAAGCAATCTGATGAAAAATTAAGCTATCCAATTCTGTTGAACTCTCTACTGTATTTCTTGCAGTTCTTACATTTTGAATATATTTTTGTTGAAATTGGTCATGTATGTATTATCTCAAAATCTAGATGAGAGGCTTGAGTGCTAGGCATGAAAACAAGACCTTTGAAAAATAACCAAATAACCAAAAATCATATTAAGTAACTTACCATTGGCGTCTTGTACTTGTGGCTCACCACTTCTTTAGTTTCAGGAACTAAAACCGGACGGGCAAGAGACAAAACAAAGAGTTCAAAAAACGAGAGGAAAAAAATGAAAGGAATAGTATAATGTTCCCAAAAGTAACAAAAGGTCCAAGGGAAACAAAGAACAGCTGCAGGAAAAAGGCATTTTTAACTAATTCTATATTCTTAGATTGCGACAATTTACCAAAGTCCATGGAAATACAGGTAATTTAAAGTGACAAATACTTTAAGATAAATATTCATTTGGGCTTCCTCTGAATGATATGTGATTTTCTTTTATGTACTAGTAATTCTTCTATAGATAGATCTGGTATATAATACATTTACCAAGTTCCAAAAACCTCTGGCTCTTGTCTGTCCCACTTATACTAGAAAACAGTTTTAGCAACTATATCCCAATATCAATGAAATACATCCCCAAACAAACTGGAAGACATGTACTTAGGTTTATAAAGATCCTATCATGCTACCAATGAAAAATCAACTTCTAAATGCCCTTAGAGTAAGAAAACTGTCTCTAAGGAAGAGTTGTTCTTCCTGTGCATTTGGCCAACAGTTGAAAAATATTCAAAAAGATCTACATTCCAAAGCCAAAACAGGAGCAGAATTCTGAATCCTTTCTTTGCTAAATAATGTTAACTTTGTTAGCTTTGTTGCTTCATCATTTAACACCCAACAGGAAACCGGATCATATAGGGCTACATGGGGAAGGATGAGTAGAATAAATATCATGATATTACCTACTAAGAGAAAAAAAATAGCAGTCAATCTATAAACAATTGACTTTAATTTATGTGGGTGGAAAATGCAAACAAAATCCAGACATATCCTTTTTATGTAAGAGAAAGAAGTGCTACCAGAGAAATTTAATGGAACATAATAAAGATTAAGCAATACATACAGGACTCTATTAAAGAAGAATGAGACAATAAGTTGATATTATATGAAATCAATATTTTAGAAAGCTAAAAAAAATCCATTAGTTAATATTAAGTCTGTACATGGTCAAGGATGCAAAATCTTTTGAAACTATTAGTATCACGTAATTCTGAGACTAACTCTGTATTACCCATAAATGATTACAAAAAAGAACCACACAAATATTTCTTTGCAGTTAGTATGCGACTTCAAAAAGCAAACAGGTAAATCAGACAGAAGTGGTCTTAAGAGGGAAAGACAAGTCAGAATAAAAAAAGCAAAATCTGACATTTAAATATTAATTTAGAAGGGTGCCATTACACTGACTACATCTACCTGCTATGACCTTTCTATAAAGAAAAAAATAGAAATAAGGTTGAAAAAGAATTCTAAAGTGTTGTATAGAATAAAAATAATATATCTCTATCACAGGGGTCCCCAACCCCCGGTCCATGGACCGGTACCAGGCCACAGCATGCCAGAAACTGGTCCGCGTAAACAAGTAAAGCCCCATCTGCGGGATGCAGGCAGTACATGAAACCACGCCCTCTCCAGTCCACAGAAAAACCTCTCTCCACGGAACCGGTCCCTGATGCTCAAAGGGTTGGGGACCTCTGCTCTATCATACAAGAGTTTAACAGTGAAGCTCAGAAAAAGGATTGCCCTCTTCCCCCTTCCCCCAGAATTGCATTTGATTTTTGATGCTGCTCCAATTAAACAGATTAAAAGAAAAAAAATAAATAAAATTACATCTTGCAGTCTCTTGCCCTGTTAATGAGTATACACAGTACTAGCAAAGGATAGGGATGAGGGGACCACATTACCTGCTGGAGGATTGAAGGTTTTCATAGCAGCGATTGTGAAGGGGCCACAATAAAACTAAAGCAGAAGTACATAGCAGTAACTCAAATTTCAGAGCCAAGGATGTGATGCTTCCTACTTTTTAGGAAAGATTCATCGCAACAGAGCACTCCAACTCAGACATATATCAATTAAATTATTTCAAACAACATAAGACTTTATACCAATTATAAGATCCACGATAATTTGAGTTCAAGGTCTATCTGTTAGATATGACATAGAGAAGCTGCATTCAAACTTCACACAGAGGTGCATAATGTAACCAAACTGACATTATCATAACTGAGAATATTGGACTTAATTGAATCCAGCTGAGTTACAAGGACAATTGCCAGAAACAAAAAAGTTTTGTAGACAGAAACAAGCCAGAAATTGCATATTTTGTAGCTATTAGATGATAGTCAACCTAATAGCTAATGACCAAAAAGCTACCAAGAGCTGTTAATTGAGCGGTTGTCAGAATGACCGTTTCCTCTGAGTAATCAGAGACAGCAGGAAGAATATAAAGCAGCCAGGTTCAAGAGCGCGAACTCACTGAGCAAGCGAATAGAGAAGACTAACAGGAGTTTGCCAAGGAAGTTCAATAGGAAAGGGGAAATACTTTAAAACCAATTACAAACTATTATGTTCTTGTGAGAAGAGCACACCTTCCTTCGTATGAGGAGAGCACATCTTCTTTCCCCTGTCCTTACCACTTTCTATAGAAGGATGATTAAAAGCATCCCGAGGTAGCGTATTACTCTGTGGCTTGGAGGTATTACTATTTTGGACAGGAAGGCTGTGCAGAGAGTGGTGAGGATGGCAGAAAAGGACATAGCATACTGTATAAGCGATGCTTGACCAGGTTATGCACATTGTCTAAGACACTACACATTCTCTCCGTGACCGGTTTTCTTTGTTACCTTCTGGGAGGAGGCTTTGCAGTATCCGAAGCAGAAAAACTAGATTCTGTAATAGCTTTGTACCATATAGTATCAACCTTGTTAACTCTCAGGACTCTTTTTTTCCGCTATGTATACTAAATGGTCTGTGATTAACATATATATGCGGGTGTGTGTGTTGCATGTGTATATGTATGCACATGTATAAGTATGCACATGTATATATATGCACATGCATATGTATATGTTCATTCTTTTTTGAGAGTAGGCATCAGGATTTCATTTTTTAATGTGTGCCAGTGTGTTCACAGAAAAAATGACAATAAAGGTTTATCTATCTGTCTGTCTGTCTGTCTGTCTAGCTAACTATAATGTAATGATATGGACTGCAGACATGTGGTTTCTGCTAGGGTCTAAATTATCCCAGTGATGGACTATTGATACAAGGAGGACTGTATCACATAAGGACTTGTAAAAACATGTTCAACAAAAGCACAGTAAGTTTGATTAGAAAGGTCTTAAATAGAACATGTGGAGAGTAGGGGAAAAAAACCTCCTAAAGTAATGGCTTCAGATAAGGCCACTGTAGGAACTGTAGAAAGTTGGAATTTTGCAAAGACAAATTTGAGAACCTAGTACAGAAGGGCATATATAATTTAATAGATTATTAAGGAGCCATGGTGGCGCAGTGGTTAGAATGCTATATTGCAGGCTAATTCTGTCGACTGCCAGCAGTTGGATTCTCACCGGCTCAAAGTTGACTCAGCCTTCCATCCTTCCGAAGTCAGTAAAATGAGGACACAGATTGTTGGGGGCCATATGCTGACTCTGTAAACAGCTTAAAGAAGGCTGTAAAGCAGTATGAAGCAGTATATAAGTCTAAGTGCTATTGCTAGATATAACAGAGACTAATGGGATTATTCCTGTGAGTGGAATATAAAGGTACAATTTGTTCAAAAAGAAAGAAGGAATTAAAAAACTAATCAGAACTTGGAAGGATTAGTTTAATAGTAATAATAATAATAATAATAATAATAATAATAATAATAATAATAATAATAATAATAATAATAATAATAATAATAATAATAATAATAATAATAGTTGGAAAGGACCTTGGAGGTCATCTAGTCCAACCCCTGCTCAGGCAGGAAACCAAATGGCTGTCCAGTCTCTTGTTAAAAACTTTCAGCGTTGAAGCATTCACAGCTTCTGAAGGCAAGTTGTGCCACTAATTAATTGTTCTAACTGTTAGAAAATTTCTCCTTAGTTCTAGGCTGCTTCTCTCTTTGGTTAGTTTCCATCCGTTGCTTCTTGTCCTTCCTTCGGGTGCTTTGGAGAGTAGCTTGACCCCCTCTTCTTTGTGGCAGCCCCTGAGATATTGGAACACTGCTATCATGTCCCCCCTCATCCTTCTCTTCATTAAACTAGACATACCCAATTCCAGCAACCGCTCCTTATACGTTTTAGCCTCTAGTCCCCTAATCATTTTAGCCTCCAGTCCCCTAACTAGTTAGAACTAATGCTTCCACCACCATCACCACCACCACCACCACCCAGTCATATGAGAAGCAAAACATCTTCTTCCTCAAGCAAAAAACATAGTCCAGTTGTCTTTTGAAAAAAATCTTTATACAACCATGACCTGGATGACTGAGAATCTCCAAAGACAAATGGGAATAGGAATTTCATTGTCACAGATATCTACAAGTATTCCCATTCAGTGATGGAGAATGATATGTGCACAATAGTGACACACTAGGAACCTGTGTTACATATTTGTAGCCTAATACCTGACAATTACATAAGCCATGGGGCTTATATTTTGATATCATAATGCATTATGTCAAATACTCTCATATGCACTATATATTAAAAAGATCCATTCCTCCTCATAAAAGCAAATTAATGAACAGTATTGTGAAAAGCATGGTAAAATTTATTTATTTAAAAGTAGAATTAAAAAGAACAAAATCATACTGCTATTTGTGTTAATTATTGACTGCTTGGGTAAGGAGAAGATGTAGATGAAGTCTTTCAAAAGCAAACTATAGATCTTTGAAAGAGAAAATAATTATAGTGACAAATTGGGAGGAGCCATGTCAAGCCTTATTCTTTAAGGAAATTCCAGATCTGACTTCTGACAACTTTCTCTTTCAGAAGAGGAAAAGAAAACACAAATAACCATCTGCCCTTGATTTGATGCTTATCAATAGGAAAGGCACAGTTGAGAAGATGAAGTAGTAGGAATGCTGGGGGGAATTCTCCATGTAATGCTAGTGTTCTCAATTTTAAGGGAATCTAAAACCAAGCATAATCAAGCATCTATTTTGGAGGAAAAACTAATGGGAAAAGGATTTCCCAATAGTTGCAGTATTAAAAATACACCTGTAAACAATTCCAATGGGAGAATAATGAACAGCAGCAGATGATGATAATAGAATATGTTCCTATATTATTGGAGGTGGAGTTCAGGATAGTCTTGCAACATAAATTATATTGAGAGAAAATATCATCTGGACTAATAATTCGTATCAATCAATCTACATTCTTTACTCACAATAAAATGACAAAAGACAATGCATAAAGCATTCATGGATAAGGTGGAAAAAAGGATGGTTCACATTATAGAAAATGAAGGATATGGTGATGGTGTGAATTTTAGTTATGTTTCTGTTTCTTATTTTTTTTTTTATTTCTATGGCTGGGTATTTCATATTCCTTTTCTATGTGCTCTGCATAATAGTTTATCCCTGAAAGGTATGCATGATGGGAATATCTCTATTCAGTCTAAAAATTCTGTACTTGTGGCACAAATTCTTCATCTATTCTCCTTTCGCCTTCTTTTTTTCTTTATCCCCATGATAAATGACCACACTGCAATTACTCAATTCATTAAAAATGTTTCGAGCAGCCAAAAGAAAGATTCGGTTCACAAATTCAAGAACAATAGACGTCCTAATAGCAGATGTGACAAAAATGCCATAGCATCTAAAAATAGCAAATTTACAGTGACTATGAATTTATCAAACAAAGCATTCCCATAACATGATATTTCATATGACACGTGGAAACAGTTTTATTTAAATAATTAGTATGATTTTCGGGCTGCTAAAGTACTTAGAGATCAATGCTTCTTTGAAATCACTACTATTCCTTTGCCACAAGCTTACTAATTTCACCTTTATTTTCCAACATTTCTTCATTTGATCTTTAGTTCCTCTGCCATCTTAGCAAACAAAACAAAGCCCACTATCTAAAAGAGCTACAGCTCTGCCTCTCTGAGAGGACTAGAAATTTGAGTTACTGCCATGCAGGTACAAACCTAATATCAAAATAATGTAATTACCAAATTCTTCCAGGACAAAGACGCCACGCACTGTATTGCACTTTTTAATGTGATTCAGCTCTATGAAAACCTGAAAGAAAACAGGAGGGGAAAAGACATGATTAGGCTAAACCAGGAAATAATTTCTAAATAATATAAACATAAAAATGCACACCACAGCAGGTATAACTTGAAATGTTTGGGATGTTGTAGTTCATACTATTAATCAAGCTACAATTATTTAAACCAAAAGAAAGAGGAGTTTTAAAGTAAAGATTGAAAACTTGCCACAATGCTAGAAATCAACAAACAACTTAAAAGGCTAAGAAGCTAAGACAGCAGAAGATGAAGTACCTTCCGCTCCTTGCAGGAGGAGAAAGCATGGAAGAGAAACGAAGGAGTTAGTAACTCTGACATAATTCAACATTGCTACTCCCTTCAGGCACTCAGTAAAGAAAGAAAGGGAAAACCACACACCTCAAAATACAACAAAAGAAGGGACAAAGAATATTCCCAATTTTGGTCTCTCGTTTGTAATCTTGTCCCATCCCATCCAATATCTACCGCTCCATGCATCCTCCTCCAGCACAGAGGGCAGGCAAGAGGTGCCATGCTTCCCACCCCAACCGGTTGCCGGCTATGTTTCCATACTGGATAAAGCTTCCTTTCGGGATTTATGGACTGTACCTTGACACAAAGCGGCCAAGAAAACAGAGGTTATGAAAAACGCGACAGATTTTTATTTCTGTCTGAATCAGAAATGAAATCTGTCAAATATGCAAGAGTTCTGATTGTTATGCGACTTTTAATGGCCACAGCATCGTTTCGCACAACCACCCACATCCTCCAAAATGTAACGCCGTTACCTCAGTCAGAATTGAGGAGCAATTGATTATTTACAAGGAAGGGATGCAGAAAGAAAATCTATACAAAAGAATATTTACACTTATTTTTACTAATAATTGAAATTCCCAAGTATTTCTTAGAATGGTACGGATATCAACTCCAAAGAATAAAAACAGAAGATAGTCTTTTTATTGTGATGGGGTGGGTGGAGAAAATAAATGTGACATGGACATTTATCTTAAGATGATAACCAGTTTTGTTTAAACACCTCAAATGCCACTTAAAAATGTCCAGGGCCAGATAATAGTATTTTCTTTAAAAAACAAAAAACAAAGCTCATAAAATGGCAAACATTTGTACAATTATTTTAGTACAAATGAAAAAATACTATAATTACTGTAAGAGTTTTCTATAATTTCAGAAATTAGAAAAGGTTATATTCCTCTCATACTACCAAACAAGTATTAATGACATTTTCATAAATGTATTTCAGACCACATTACAATTAGCTAATTGCTAACATTAGGGATTCTCTCTTTGGTAACAAAACATTATACTGGATAATGGGGGAAAATAAGATTGTCTTTGGAGAAAATCTTCCAAGCTAATAGAGCAAGAATCACAAATCATAATGCTGATCCAGGGGAAAATAGAATCTTTGTAGAAATGGAAGAATTTTCCCTTTTTCTACTATCCCCTACACCACACACAATCCTGCTTCAGAGGGTTAAACAACCACTTGATACAAACTTTGGAGGCGTGAGAGCCTTTACAGGTGCTTGAAATTCTTACAACAAACTTTAATCTTATTGAATTGAAACAACAGTTAAATGAGGCTAGGAACAGAATAGATCTTTATAAGAAAAGGTACTTAAAACCTCGATGAACAGGACAACCCAAAATTTCTATTGAAATAAGATTGGACCATGTCATGAAGTACTCACAAATTTTTCAGATGTGCTACACTAAACATGAGATGGAGTTGGCATGTGCAATCTCTTTTTAAAAATTCTTCTGCAAATAGTCTTAACAAAAAATATATTTTACATCTGATCATCTTTTGAGTATGGTTTATATTTTAGTGATGCAAAAAGAGGCATTCATAAATGTATTCAAATGCTAAATTTTATTATACTGCATCCTGATTGTGATAGTTTTAGTTGATCGAACAGATAATTTAAGTCATCTACATTTTTCAGACTGTTATATAATTTTGTTTTAATCAGATGTACATCAATGAATATTTGCTTGCCTCTTTGGAAATTATGTGAAGGGAGTATAGGAAAACTTTAGTAACTATAAATGTTGATGAAACCTCTCTGTATTGATTTGCTATCAGAATTACACTTTTTTAGTTTTCATCTCCCAAAAATGAAATAGAGAATTCTAAAAGATAAATAGAGAAACAACACATAGCTCAATCCATTTAAAATAATGGCACACATCCAAATTCTAATATACAGATCTCAAGTTCTGATGGCAATAGGGACTGGGATTGCATCGCTAAGAGATGCAATTGTAAAGCAGGAAGTCACATGACGGCATCACTTAAGTGACAGCAATCCAGGCAAACCCAGTTATCACTGTAACCCCAAGACACATGGGTCATTAAACGGGAAGCAGAGAGAATTCCAGTTAAAAAGCATAGAGGTGCCACAGGGGGACTCTGGAGGCCCTAACAGGCCCAGTGCAGGATACGCACAAATTGGGGAAGTATTACATTGTGGTACGAGTTCAGGATGGCTGGGAAAACATGGTGTGAGATGCTTGCATGCATGTGTATGATTGCAGGGAGGCCAGGGAAAGCGGTAGAAGTGCAGGGAAGCTGGGGGAAAAAGGTTCAGGATGAATATGTGTGTGAACGCAGGAACTCCGGCAAAAGAGGGGATGGGTGTATGCATATGTGTATACATGTGCACCAGCTCCATGAGATAGGGGAAAGAGGGTGTGGAATGTACGTGTGCAAGCACAAGGAAGCTGGGAAAGAGGGCACAGGGTACATGCATGCATGTGTATGAGTGCAGGGAGGCCCGGGAAAGAAGGTGCTAGTGGGTGTGTGCATGTGTACAAGTGCAGGCAGTTTAGGAAAGGAGGGTCCTTGTGGGTACGAGCAAAGAAAAGGCTCAGGTTGAGGGAGACTGACCTGAGTGACTTGTGACCTTCCTTGCTGACTTCCCTATTGACTTTATATGTGGGAAGCTGGCAAAAAAGGTTGGTGACAGCAATCATGATCATAGGATGCCACAACCAGTCATAAGTATGAGAAGGTTGCCAAGCGCCCAAATTTTGTTCACATAATCCTGGAGGCATGCAACATCCTGAGCAAGAATGCAAATAACGCGATAGAACTGAACATTTATAGCCAAACCTGTTCTTCTATTACTACCATATAGGCAAATTTATTTCCTGTTCAAATAAATAAAACTGAAACTAAATTTTTAGGGAGAAATGTTCATTTTAATAATAGATATCCATGCTAATTATAAGTAAAATGTTTAATCTTTTGAAAAAAAAACCCACAACCCTACAATTACCATTAGTTTAATTACTAGTTTTAGACATTGGATTAGACCCTGCCAACTGCAAGAAACCAGAACGACTATGTGAGCAGATCAAAGTAGTTTCTTTATTGTTATTCTCCTATTTACAAAAATCTCACCGGACTAAGTGCATTCTCTTGGGAATGGGCAGATAAAGGCTTCAGGGATCTGGTCTCTGTCACTCTCCTGCATGTTTCAAAAGATACTTTTGCAAAAGGCAACTGAACTATGTTTTTTCCTTAAGAAGACGTTTCACTTCTCATCCAAGAAGCTTCATCAGTTCTGACCCTCAGAAGTGATGAACTTCTTGGATGAGAAGCGAAATGTCTTCTTCCTCTAGGAAAAAATATAGTCCAGTTACCTTTTGAAAAAACACCTTTGAGACAATCATGATCTGGATGACTGAGAATCTCCATAGACACATCCTCCCATGGAACGATTCCAAGCTAGCCTGCTTCTTTACTTCCCTTGCTACTCTAGTTGGAGATTCCACCACAATCCTAATCAGTTTTATAATTTTAAACCATTTTGCTCACCAATCTATGGCCTGATCTATGAAAAAATACTGGTTTTTTAATTTTTTTTATAAATTTAGATAGTCTATAGCAGTGATGGCAAATCTTTTAGAGACTGAGTGCTGAAACTGCCCCGCCCCCACCCACAGGGCCACCCACCACCTCCACGGCCCACCGATCACCCAGGCAGCCTTGCAGTGCCATGGCAGCCACGCCTTCCGCCCCGCGCAGCATCATCTGCGCACGACGAGGCGTAAGGGCGGAGTCTTGTCCCTACTGCCCGGCTGCCATGTCCTTGACTGCGCTACTTCGCACGGGCTGTACCTGGGAGCGACTCTCCTTTGGGGGGGCTGCTGGTGAGGAGGGGGCTACGGGGGGTGGTGGGGCTGGGGCAATGTGCGTGTGCCCACAGAGAGGGCTCTGAGTGCTGCCTCTGGCACGTGTGCCATAGGTTCACCACCACTGGTCTATAGGCATCTATGATCTGCAACAATTTAAATAATAGCCATTGGCTTTTTAGTAACCATTTTCAAACTTATAATAAATTAATAACCAAGCATTGGAAGGGGCAGTTAATAAGTATATGAAAATATTCAGGAATTATAATAAATTGTGGAAATAGGATTTTTTTTACACAATTCCCACTGTTTTTAGAACTTTACCTCCTGAAGTTGTAACAGTAGATTTACTTCTTGCCATCTAATATTAATAACATGTTAATAAAAGTATATTAAAGACTAGTATTTAATAATATATCTTTCTATAACAATATATTATTTAATGGATTTATAAATGGACTAGCCAACCACTGCATCTGTGAGGAAAATCTCTCTTCCCTTTGATAGGACTTCTATTTTATTCCTACTGAGACTCACCCAGCAGTAATAAAAATACTGTCAGCAGCTTTCCAAGTATATTTTTTTTCCTACACAGAGATTTTCATTCTCTATGAGTTATAATAACATCCATCAAATTACCAGTCATCTATAAACCAGCAGTTTTCTTGCCTGCTAGCTTAGAGGTTCATAAATTTCGGTACCTTCCTTGGAAGATGTATTCTAAAAAATGGTATCTGAATGCTCATTGAACATTCAGCAGGGTTGGCTAACACAGAAGGTATACCTTTAAAAAAGGGATGGGCAAACCTCTGGTAAGAAAGGGTTAATTTAACATATTGGAGATGGATGAGAGTCCCATATGATATATCACCAATAGGTAGCGGAGCTTGGGGGGGTACCTTTATTTGAAAGCTGTGATATATCTATTTTAAAACATTTTAACAAAGCAATTATGCAAGTCTTTCTTGAATTTCTGGCTCAAATCATTGATTAAATTGCCTAGATGCTTGTAATGTCAATTATGTCTCAATCAATAATGTTTTCTGTACTTCATCCAACAGATTCACATCATTATTCCCTATTTTGGGAATTCTGCATCTTTGCAAATGTTCTTAGTATGTTTTGCTTGGCATATTTTTCTTAGAAGCAAACTGTACTAAAACAAATTTTCAGTAACAAATGTATTTTAAAATAAATACAATAATATATCAGTTAATATCCATTGTGTAGTCCTCTCCAATTACTAATTAATTTTCTATTTATCATTTTATTTATAAATAAATAAAATTTATGAACTTTATAGGCTTCCAGACTCCCATACTATTTTGGATGACGTACAATTAGCAACTTATGCATGTATGGGTGTGTGGGTATCGGTGTATACACACATATACATATACATATATACATGTGTATACACACATATAAATGATGCAACAGACAGGAAGTAATCAAAATCTAAACCAAATGAAGCAAGCATTTATAATAATCTAAGATTAATATATAGACCAATAGATAATGTACTTGTCATTAAAGTCCTATCCCCAGAATAAATACAGAAACCAATAAATTGTATTTTAATTTTATGCTCTTGACAAAAAGGTAATTTGGGTAAGGCAAGACTTGAGAGACTTTCCAAAGAATGAATTATTGTTGTTTAGGTACAAAATTCTGTATTAAAATGAAATGGAATAGCCCATAATTCATTTTAAAAAGAAAACTGATAAATCTGCTTATGCTTATAAGATTTTCTTACAGCTTCGCCATCAATCACTTTAATAGAATGCTTTGAGTTGCAACTTTATAGTTTATCGTTCTTGTAAATCACTGAACGCTTAACGTTTATTTAGAAATTCTTTCCCAAAGCAGCATACCAGCATTAGAACTCTTATAATTATGCTCTTCCAGTAGTTGCAATGAGGAGACTATACTCCAATGCAGTGTTTCTCAATCTTAGCAACTTAAAGATGTGTGACTGGGAAATGCTTAAAGCCATGCTGGCTGGGGAATTCAGGAGTTGAGATCCATTCACCTTAAAGCTGTCAAGAATGAGAAACGTTGTTCCAATGATATGTTGGTCTTTAAAAGCAACGCCCATTCCAATATATCTTTCCGGAAAAGTCTTAGGAGAAAACATCACAGAAGTTTCCCTTTCTCTACTACCTTCTGTCAGAATTCAACTCACTGAGGATGCAAGCAGGCATTATCATCACAACACAGGTGGGAATCAACTCTGCCACGGTCTCCCACTAGGCTTTAGACCAGCAGCTGCCGAAGCAACACAGAACTAGAGCAGTGTTTCTCCATTTTGGTAAATTTAAGATGTCTAGACTTTAATTCCCAGACTTCCCTAGCCAACATGGCTGGCTGGGCAATCCTGGGAGTTGAAGTTCAGTCATCTTAAAGTTGCCAAGATCAAGAAGCACTGTAATAGAGTAACTGTTAGAAATTGACCTCCTATAATGGTTTTGAATTATTTCATTTCTGTGCTTCTTGACTGTAATTCTCCAACGCATTCAAAAGAAGGGATCCAGAATGCAATATTTTTAGACTTGGGCGACATTTGGAATGAGTGGCACAGTCTCAAAATGGCTACTGTGGAGGCTATGACTCTTCACAAAACATTTATCTTCAACATAACAACAAAACATACATTGTCCAAACTCCACCTCTTCTCACTTCTGTTTCATCTCATCTTGAAAACTGCTTTAAAAATGGATTTCCCTAAAAACCACTTCTTCCAGTTTTAACGATCATTTGAGTCTGAAAAATTAATACATAACACTGAAGGACAAACCTGTATCTAAGGTTTGCACCTAATATGTTGTTGGCATGTGTGATCTGTCAACATTTGCCTTTCAGGATTCATTATTACTGATTTCAGAAAGGAGCAAGGAAGAGGACAGCTACACAGTTTGGTTAGGGCAGTGTTTCTCAACCTTGACAATTTTAAGGCATGTGGACTTCAACTCCCAGAATTCCACAGCCAGCAATGCTGGCTGTGGAATTCTGGGAGTTGAAGTCCACATGCCTTAAAATTGTCAAGGTTGAGAAACACTGGGTTAGGGAGTTTGAGGGAGACTTGCTTTGTACATGATATAAATTGCCAATCCCATTTTTATCTTTTTCTCTCCTCTTCCTTTGCTTTCCTTCTCTATAAATGTCAATGCCGTATTATTTTGTTAACTCTGTTTATGCATTTTTCATTTTTTATTCTAAGATGTTTGACACAATAATATGTTGTTCATTCATCTGGGACTTGGAATCAGGCGTGAATGAATATATACCCATGTGGGCACTGCACCACTGAATTAGGGAAGAATGAAAAAGTAGAGTTGCACTCTTTAATAGTTGCACATAGTTTCAGCTGAAAAGCAACTTGTCTTTTGAGCACTGCATGTAGCTGCAGTGTCAATTTCAAAGGAACCTTCACATGCATGTATATTTTCAATGCATGTATTTTCAGAGGTTCTGAATCACAGCCCAGGGTTCTCAGAGGCACCAAAAACAATTAAACTTACCAAAATAAATAAAATAAAGACAATTGCACAAAAGACCGAATGACAAATTTAACTTTTCTCCTCTGCCTCACTTTTACACACTCTTACGCAGAGATACACAAGCACACAAAACCCTAAAACTGATTGTACATTATTTGCAAAACAAACATGACCATGAAGCAAAATAAAATCATTGAATAAGAGAAGCAAAAAGAACATACATCTAAAGAAAGAAAAAATGGCACGTAATTCCATTTGTGTTTCCTCTATACCCAGAGATAAAGCTCTATTAACAAAGGGAGCAAAGTAAGATATCTGTATTACTGTGAGGAAAATCTCTCTACCTGGTATGTTGGCCAGAGTACTTTTAACCACAAAGAAAAACATACGATGCAGGACAACTATTTAAAAAAACAACTTGCAATTGCCAATTCTAGATCACTTTTGTCATGTAATGAGAATCAGTATAAATAAACCAGATATAAGTGGTAATAAAACTTCTTTGTAAAGTTTGGCTAATATATTTCAGTGCCACATTTATGTAATCTGTCAGAGCATACCCAATATTGTTAAATGTTGCTTGAGGTGCTTTGCGGAAATCTAACACAGCCAAATGCACATCATCATCTCAATGGCTATTTTTCAGTTAAAACACTTGCTTCATTTGAACGAAGAAAGTATGAATCAACAAACTCACTATAAATTAATTACAAATAAACTGAAGCCTGTGTTTCTGAAAATACCATTCTTGTTACTTTTCCTGAAGTTTATAAACAGTCAAAAATTCCCATATTTATTCATTTAAAAATTAATCTGCTTTTCATTATTAAAAACAATTCTAAAGCAGATTTAAAAATTTAACTGTTCTACCTAACAATAAGAACCTGTCATTTTAAAAGGAAAAAAAAAGGATTGATAGCTGTGACATTTCTCTTTCCCTTTTCTGGTATAGGGAAGAGGAAACACGTTTACTGGTGTTCTTCAGAAACGTTCATGCTACTATAAGACTTGTTACAGGCAATTTCCTACCTGACTATGCATGAATTTCAAATTAATTCCTTCCAGTGTGACTTGGAGAAGGCCTCCTTCACCAGTTTTCATATCCTGTACGGGAAATTCCCCACCAAGTTCAGGCCCTATAAGACAAACAGAAAACAGAGGAAAATAAAATTAAAAAATACACATAAACACCAAATCATTAACACAAAAAGGACTAATTTTCTAGCATATAATCCTCCTTCCAAAACAGAACCTGAGGACAATGTAGGTTTCTACTGCAGAAGATGCAGAAGATCTCTCAAGGCAGAATCATAATGTGATAGGGCTCTTCTTCAGTGTCATGTGTCTGATTAACGAAACACTTAAAAGGACTTTCAGGCATATTTTTATCCTAAAAGCATTTATTGATGTCAACGCTGCAAATATTGTATATTCTTGCTTTGACATTCAGGACATTAGAGTGCATTCCTTCAGCCCTTGAGATAGAAGAGAAATATGGCAGCATAGTTTGCCTTGGCTCATTGCTGAGCAACATTTTGCCTCAATTAACACAGTCAAGGAGGAGCGTGTTACAGTTTTAGTGCAGGAACTAACTAGGGGCTGCCCCTGGCTCTCTCTACCATTTGCTCTTTACCATGTTATTTAGTGTATGGCGATGTTACATGAGCCAGAAGACTATAATGTTAATACAGAGTACCGGTAGTTGTTTAGCTGCCTAAGACTGCATGTGATCATCCATATCATCAGTTGGCTTAGAAAATTGGTCTCTTTGATAGGGGCTGGAGCTAGAAGGAGATAAGCAGTGTCCTGCTAAATCAGACCCCTGGCCTATCTAGTCCAGTTCTGCATTCTCATAGTGGCCAAACAATTGCACAAGAAACCAACTAGTTTCTCAGCAGATGGCCTTCAATAGCAGTCACATTACCCATGAGGGCAATAACAACTGATCCCCATGGCTTCCATGAATTCATCCAACCTTTTTTTTTTTTTAAGCCAATCAACTTGGTAGCCCACAGCACATCTTTTAGAACTAAATTTCAAAGTTTAATTACATGTTGTGTAAAAAAATATCCTTTTGTCGGTTTTGTTTCTTCCAGGATCCAATTTTATTAGGTAACCTCTAGTATTTTGTAAAGGAGAAAACAGCTTTTCCTTGTCTACTTTTATCCATACTACATATAGCTTTTTGCACCTCAATCATGTCCCCTCTTATTTACCTCCTTTCTAGATTAAAAAGCCTCAAATCTCCCAACTTTTCCTCCTAGGAAAGCTGCTCCTTGATCATCTTTGTTGCCCTTCTCTGCACTTTCTCTAGGTCCGCTCCGCTTATATCCTTTTTAAGGGGTGGCAATCAGAACTGCACAAAATATTCCAGATGTGATTATGCCACTGACCAAAAGCTACAGTAACAAGCAGCTAAGCTTTTGTTTTGTTGTTATAAACGCTTGTGGTATCATTAGCGACACATGTCAAACTGTTCTGTTTTTTTTGTGGTGTTTCTCCTTCTGCATTTCAGTCTTTAGATATATTTTTCTCTGTGTGGCTCCTGTACAACTGTTTTCAACACTGACATTTGTATATTTTTTGTTAGCATTGTACTGATATCCCACATTTTCTATAGGAGTTCAAAACTGTATCCGTGGCACTCGCTCTTCCAATTTTTCCTCCCAACAACTCTCTGAAGTAAGTTGGGCTGAGAAAAGAATGATTGGCCCAAAGTTACCTCTGAGCTTCTGTGGCTGAGGCTGGCCTTTGATTGTCCCAATGCCAGTCCAACATATTATCTATTATACCACACTAGCTTATAATTGATATTATATACAGAGGAATTATTCAAAGAATCACATTTACATCTAAGCAACTGATACAATAAACACACGTGAAACAGATTCATACTTTCACACTTCCAAATTATACATATTTTGACCCAGCAATGCCTTTGAAAGAAAAGCAATGCCTTGTAAGAATGAATAGGCATCAGTGTCTTTTAGCAGCAAACATGTTAAAGTGAAGGTTACCACCATTGCAGAATATCAGACATCTTTCCTAATATAATCAAGGGCTGACTTTGTACATTTTACCAATTTGAAAAATAGGTATATGCAGCACTATAGCAGAGATATAGGAAGGGGACAAAGGAAATTTTACTCTCTAACACTTGCATAAATGATACAGACATAAGTTTGGATCTTATTTCAGTATTTTAGAGGATGCCTTTCTCCTGATCCTTCTCTTTAACTCATCTTTCAATGAGTCATAAAAGAATTAAGGATCATTAAGGCTTGTAGAGTAAATTACAGGTAGTTTTAGCTGTAATGGCATGTGGAAATGACATTGAGAGACAGAAAACATAACCAGATGAGCTAATTCCACTTTATTGTAAAGCTACATTAACAGAATGTTGCACTTTAACTTGGGAGGATAGATTGACTACTTTTTTCCTCTCCACTTCCCTTACAGAGTGGAGAGATAGAAATTTCCAAAGAATACTGTAAGCTGCTTGTATAGCACACCTGCAGCTCCTAGCCCTGGGCTTTCATTACAATCACTTTCTTTTTGATGTGCAAAAGACCAAACAGCTTACTTTCTTGCAATCTTTTTTCCTTCAATCTATCTGCTCTGCAAAGAAGGGAGGGGAAAAAGAAAAAGAAAACCTATAGATCAGATACAGGGCGTATATTGACTCTAATGGTGATCACATGACTAAGCAATGGGGTGAAGGTCATAAATGAGCCTTAGTAAAGTATCTAATATAGATACTTCTCCCTACCCTATTCCTTAATTGGAATTAGTTGCTATATGTTCATTTCTTTCTCAAACAATAATCATGCAGTAATGTATTGTATATATGTAAGGTGTATGTGTGTGTACATAAAAATATACACATACATATATTCAATGAAATAATTCCATTTTGCTAAACTGGATAAAATAGTAAGTTTAATACTTTCAGATCTTTAACAAAAAGAGCTACATAAATGCTCTAATAATAATGCTTGTCATTTAAAAACAAAAACTAAAATCTTACCTGGCTTTATGCTCTGTTGTCTTGCAGCTGCTCTTTCCATACTATCTTTTACACAATAATATAATTCCCGGCACTGTAGCAAATTAAAATAAAAGGAAATAAAATAGTAAGTACAGCATGGAACTAACAAAATAGCATAATTGCAAAGGACAGAAAAGACATATGACAATGTGATTTTTGACGGAACTCCATATCATTCAGGTACAACCTTGGAAAATGATGCAGTTGCTTTAATCAGACCCAGGCAGCGCAATGTTCTCTTGAAGTACCTATTCAGATTAAAACCACAGTATAAACCTATGCACTGCATCTTTCCAAAATGTTAAGAGATAGTTACTGGACCCAAATTGCCCAGGAACTTATAAATGCTTAATATGTGTCCACAACTCATCAGTTTTAATCTAGGGTCAATAACATTATTGCTATTTAGAGCAAAAGCAGCACTGTAGTAATAGGAAAAAAAAACTTAAAACAGAAGAAAACATAATAATGGTTACCCAAACATTATGGAATGAACACTGCTATCATTTTAGAGATGTTTGACTGTGACAACCTTCTTTCTTTAGCTCCAATTATAGTGCAGATACACTGTTTTCCTTTATGGATAGAACTGTTTAGTTCAGTGTTTCTCAACCTTGACAATTTTAAGGCATGTGGACTTCAACCCCCAGAATTCCACAGCCAGCATTGCTGGCTGTGGAATTCTGGGAGTTGAAGTCCACATGCCTTAAAATTGTCAAGGTTGAGAAACACTGGTTAGTTAGAGTAATTCAATAAGACAAGATTCTATCCACTCTATCAGATTTTAACTTATGCCGTCTTTAGAAAAGGGAACTGATACATTTAAGGCATTTTTTCTTCCAACCTAAAAATAAAATTTTACTCTGATAGCCAACCATGCATTACATATAAATAGATGGTTGCAGTTTAAACATGCTGTATTTGTATACTAGCAACATCACAGGATCCAGGATTACTGTGAAAATAACATGAAACAGTCCCCCAACATTTCAGTGCTTGTAAGGGAAAAGAAAGGCTTCTTAGGGAAAGGAAAGGAAAGGAAAGGACAGGAAAGGAAAGGAAAGGAAAGGAAAGGAAAGGAAAGGAAAGGAAAGGAAAGGAAAGGAAAGGAAAGGAAAGGAAAGGAGGAATACAGTAAATAAGACTGAATTTGGATTACAAATAATTTAAATAACTTTTCTTGCTAAAATTAAAACCTAATATTTTGAATGAGAATGATCTAAAATGAGGATTAAGTAGGATGAAAGTCACATCCTCTTTTATAAACAAACATAAGAGGACATTCCATTACAAACAATCTGGCAAATAATGACATGACCATTATTCAATTACTAAAAAGGCAAACTGGAAAGGATATTTCTTAATGGGACCACTTTTCTAACTCCAGCTTATCTGTTTTTTTCTTAGTTGGTGGACACACTTCTAAACAAAGCACAAGAGAATAGCTACCCACAGTTATTATTTTCTAAGACTGGGCATCAGTGGAAATAATCCGATTTGCCAAGGAGGTTAATAAGTGCAAAGAATACAGTGGAAACTAAAGGATCTTGTTAGGGACCAAAATTCTAAAATTGCAGGAGAATGAATGCAGAACCCTGGGGTGGAGTTAAAAGAGGGATCAGCCTAAAATCTCTATGTAGCCACGAAGCAAACTAAGTCCAATCTCCCTTGAATTCCATTGATCCTTATCTAACTTCTAGCAGCCGTTAACCACTATTTGAGAAGATTCCTGTGTACAACAATTAGCTGAGAAGATTCTTGTGCATAGGCAAGATTAGTATACAGAATACAGAATAACACAGTTGGAAGGGACCTTGGAGGTCTTCTAATCCAACCCCCTGCTCAGGCAGGAAGCCCTATACCTTTTCAGACAAATGATTGTCCAGTCTCACCTTTAAAACTTCCAGTGTTGGAGCATTTACAACTTCTGGAGGCAGGTTGTTCCACTGATTAATTGTTCTGTCAGGAAATTTCTGCTTAGTTCTAGGCTGCTTCTCTCCTTGATTAGTTTCCATCCATTAGCCATAAATTACTTTAATTAGAACAATAGATCTAATTAAGCTAATTAATTTATTAGAGCAATAAATCTCTTTAATTATTCCCTTAGCAATAAATCACTTTAATTAGACCTTGATGTATGGATCTGATTTCTTGTGCCTCACAAAAATGTCCACTAAAATAATAAAATAGGTCTTTGTATCTTCCCTTTTTTTCTGAAGGCAAAATAGTAGAAAACATACCTTTTTAGTGTAGAACTTATTTAGCTGTGTTTCCTGTCCATTCCTTCTCCAAAGACAAAGCACCTTTGTTTTGGGGCAGTATGTCATATTAATCAATTTTTCGTACCACCAGCGTTCATACACAGTGCCAATGTTGCTTCTCAACACAATGCAGTCATCGCATACCTAGAAACATAAATAGTTTTATGCATAAAACTTCATAGACTTCAGCCCAGTTAACTCGATTAACATTTAATCTGGTCTCTACCTCCATGAAGAATATGTCCCCTGTTGTATCTGTGCCAGCATGTACAACAAATGTTTGTTTCTTAATATGTCTACTGCCACTTGGTCGGATGGGGAGCTCCCTGCCAGACTAAAGAAAAGAAAAAGACAAATAAAAGAGAATGAATTTGTAATTGTAAAGCTTTTAATTTAACACACCACTAAGAGAACATGGATGAAGATCAGGAACGGATTCTTTTTATGTTGAAAGCAATTTATGAAACTATTCTTACAGCTACTGATGAAATAAAAAGCTACAGAAAAGAACAAGATGTCAGCCTAGATATATGAACCCAACCAAACATTGATTACAACTAAAGAACCAATTACACAGAATATAATAGAAGAAGTGGAACAATTAAATACTATGATAGAAGATTCAACTGATCAACAAACACAGTTAACGGAAAACCCAGAAAAGAGACTGACAACACTGAAAATGGAAAAACTATCTTTATAAACCAGAAGAAACCTGAGGATCAAGAAGAACAGACCGAAGGGAAGATAAACATTTCAGGACAACTACGTTGAAATGGAAAAATAGAGAGACATTTGTTAGCCCCTTCCAAAAAAATGGCGACTGGGTGGCCTCTTTTATCTCAAACAACATATATAATAACAGAGGGAGAACTATTTGATGACTTAAAAGCATGGATATGGAAGGCGAGTTGGCAAAGAAAGGAAGTTAGAATAAGGCTGAAAAAAATAGGGTTTTTGACTTATTAGTGAGGATTAAAATAGAATATACTCAAATAGACAAGGTGTGTACTTCGAATACTAGGTTTTGTTATGAACTGAGATAAAGAAAACTTTGGTCATTTAAAACTTGGAAGTATAAATATCAAAAGTTAAATTTGAATATTGATTTGTTTATAAAGGTTGAATGTAAAAGTAATTAAGATATATATAAGCTAAAAATCTACTGATAAATGTAACAAACATGTTTTTACTTAGCTGATATAATAAGAACTGTATTAGCTTAAATATGAGATAGTAGACATTAAGAGAAAAAGAGAAGAAGTATTTGATGTTGAAACAAGAGAAATTTTGGTTACTAAATTTAAGACATTTGGAAATTAATAGAAAATAAGAATGTTACACTGCATTATTAATTAGATGATATAAGATGGTGAGAAATAAAATATATTCAAATAGATAAGACGTATATCCTGAATATTAGACTTTGTGATGAATTGTGATAAAGGGAACTTTGGTCACTTAACACTTGGAAATTATAAATATTAAATGTTAAATTTAAATATTAATGGGAAACTAAAAATTAGGAAAAACTAATTAGGACATTAATTGTCTATAAAGACTGAATGTTAAAATAACCAGGATATATATAAGCTAAAAATTATTGATAGATGTAAGAATGTTATTTTTATTTAATTGATATAATAAGAATTGTATTAGTTTAAACATGAGTCAGTAAATACTAAGGGGAAAAGAGAGGAAATATTTAATGTGTTAGTTTGAGACTTGTACTAAAGATGTTTGTATGTCATTGAATTTTCGATTAACTCAGCTGCCATGTTGCTTTTTAAATACTTAATTGTAAAATTAGAAAATCAATAAAACATTAAAAAAATAAAATAAAATAAAAGAGATGCATTCTTTTCACTCTACATAATTGAAAGTCAAAATCTCTCAATATACAAAAGCACTCTCACCTAATATAACTCATGGGACCTGAAAGTACTTAAATTTAATCATTAAAAGAACAAAACTATACCAACTATTTTTAGCTGTTTTAGCAGAAAAATTACAAGGTAATCTAATACATCAGCAAAGCAGTCTACTGTACTCTACTGAAGAATAAATGAACTTTCAATGAAAGAATCCTATAGGCCTCTCAATAAAAATACGGATATCACTCAACAGCAAAATGTGACTCACTATTTGAACTACGTACACAACCTTTTAAAAGCAAACATGCTTTTGTAATCTTTATAAAGTCTAAGATTCAGTTCAGACAATGGCTTTTTCAGAAAGCCCCAAATGGAACAGAATTTGACCACAGAGCAGAGAAAGGCTACCTACTGCCTTTCAGAAGTCTTGCAGTCTCATCAGTTTCAGATGATATGAAAGAACTGCAGTAGCTTCTTACTAGAGTCCCGAGAAACAGTGCCTTTTTGTATAACAAATTCTTTTTGTATAAAGTACAGTTAAGTCAGTCAATATCATCTACATGTACTAGTGCCCAGCTTTCAGTCCCACCTTCTTTTGAAATATCTGATATTTCTCTGGAATAACAAGACAATATTCTAATAAACTACTTCTGAGCTGTACAACAGAAGAAAAATATATTTCATGACTATGAACTAGTCTTGATACAGAATTATTATCTTGTATATTGCATGTTAAGCATATTAGAAAGTATGCAAACTTCTCTATAACTTCTCTATAACTATCATATACTTTCAAATATTTGACAAGTGATACCATTGCTATTGAAGCTGAAGTTTAATGTTTTATTTCTTCCCCTCACAGCAAAGAAACAAATATATGTTTAACTTACTGTGTTGGCAATTTTGTCAAGTGTATCATTTATTTCTTGACTATGAACCAAGCCAATATGAGATTTCCCCATCAAACGGCGTACTTTCTTCCTAATATCATTCTTCTGCACCTATATAGCAAAAGGTAATACCTAGTTAGTGATACTTTTCCATCTTTTATGGAGATCCAATTAGACTACTGCAACACACTCTACATGGAGCTGACCTTAAGGACCCCCTGGAAGCTTCAATCCAGACAAAATGCAGTGGCCTGGGTATTCATGCATACTTGTCAATGGGCGTACATTACACCTGCAAGTCTTGTACTCGCTTCCTATTAAGGTTGGATGTAATCTAAACTGCTGGTCTTTACTATATTTCTTATAGCCTGGCATTGGGTTCCCTGCAGGACTGCATCCCTCCATTAGAGTTGACTAAACCACTTCAATCATGCTGGCAGAAGCAGCTGGTTGTCCCCCATTTTGGGAATCTTAGGAGGGCTGAAACCATGAAGTATTGTTAGACTATTGAAATGGCCTTCCTTTGGAGCAATGTTTCCCAACCTCCAACATCATTAAGATGTGTGGATTTCAACTCCCAGAATCCCAGAAATTCTGAGAGTTGAAATCCACACATCCTAAAGGTGCTCATGTCAAGAAACACTGCTTTGGAGGCTGGCTTATCAATATAACTACCTTCTTTCTGGAAAAAGTTCAAAGCTGAGCTTTTTTTGGAGGGCTTTGGGGATTTAACATCAGGCATTATATAGTTGGGGTTTTAATGTATCTTCGGATGTATTATTGTCATTGTTGACCATCGTGGCAGGATAAATCTTATAAATAAATAAGTTTGGGGAAATCCTGAAAGAATGCAATGACAAGCCATTTCCATATTGCTATTAAGAAAACTATATAAATATGTGCAAGAAGACACTAGTTCAAGTTTTAATAATTTTCAAGACTTTTAATGAAACAAAAATGCTTGACAGTTTGTTATACCAGCCACTAATAGTGAATTGTTCCTGAATATGCGATCCACATTTGACATATACACTGTCCTCTCATCTGCCTGCCTTATCATCCTTCCAATACAATTTTAAATAACTCAAAGAAATGAAATGTACTCCACCGGGCATTTCCAAGGTGGTTCTGGGAGCAAAGACAGATTGATCGAATCATAGAAATGATAAGCATCTTTTTGTTTTGCTGTTAATCAATATTTTTATATTTATCACAATCTTGAAGAATTTTGAGCATTATACAAATATAAAACCTGTAGAATGCTAAAACAACTATATAAATTTCCAAGGTAAATTACATAATGGTACCACTATTCAATCAATGTCAAAAATATGCTGAAATAGAACAGCTTTAAGTTGTTTCTAGAAGGGTAACATAAAAGAAGCTGCACATAGCTTGGAGAGCCATGTTTGTGTGTGTGTTAATGTTCCAAAGAGTAAAGTCTACCACAGGGAAGGATTGCTACCTAATTCAATCCCTAACCCTGCTTCTCTCAGGAGGGGTATTCTTAGCAGGCTTTCTCTAAATGGCCAGTTGAATGGGTGTTTTGTCCTAAAGGAAAGACTTCAAAAGTTATCATCAGCTACAATAACAATAAATATAGGAAAAAAAACCTTGTGACTTTGATAGAGATAAAAACCTATAAAACAATGACCTAATTGTGAAATGCCAAAGTTAAAATTTCATTTTTTTTAGTTTCAAATTTGCTTTTTTGCATTTTATATTTTTTTTTAAATTTAATAAAGTTTTGATTTAAAAAAAAAAGTAATAATCAGCACTTTGAACTGACCCTGGAAGCATACTGGAAAACAATGCAATGTTATTGGTACATTACTTTCTAACCCTTTTTCCTCAGACTATACTCAGATGAAGGGAAGAGACAGAGGAGCATCAGCAAACCAACTCTCTAGGAGAATCATCTCTCCCAGAGATTTCCCCCCTCCCATTACAGTTAGCACAAAAGAAAGTGAACCCTAAGTGTATTGACACTTAGCAACTAGAATGAGAAAATGTGATCCTTAAAACATTACTTCAAAGACTGCAGTCTGTATCATGCAAAGACATTATAGCATCACCAATCACAAGACCCAATCTAAAATGCAAAAACAAAAAAAGCACCTTCATCATAATCATGTATGCAATCATATTGTGAAGCAAAGTAGCCAATAAACGGTCTTCATCATCTTCTAAACGTTTTCGGTCGTGTTCTCCTAAAGAAAAATATCTACAGGAAAAAAAATATATTAACTGAAGACACCATTCAATCACTGATTACAAAATCCTGTATACTGCTCTATTTTTCTTTTTTGTTTTAAAGATCCGTCTCAAGGTTTCATGCTTAAAATTTACTCTACATAAAAGGTGTTTCCCTTAATAGACTCTACAATTAAGATGAGCAAAGGCAGAAAAGAGCTTATGAAGAAGAAAATTTGACACATAAGTAGTAATTATTTACATTTATAGTTATACTGTACCTGTAAACAAATTATCCAGAATAAAATTGCACCCTGAGTTCCTACACACGTTTAGTTATAACTTACATATTGCAGAGACAACTGTGGAGATCTATACTTTACCTGTCAATCATCTCTTGAGGCCCCTGATCCATTCCCATCCCTTCTCTTTCTAACATCACAGCATCCAGAAAAGCATCTTCCCAGAACTGCATCTGATCCCACAGAGTTGAACGCTCTTTACCTAGACAGCATTGTTTTTGTTACTCAGAGATATCATTTTTAAAAGACATAATCATATAAACAATTTCCCCCACAAATAATAAAGTGTGATTAAACCAGTGTGATTAAACCAGATATTTTCTTATTCTATGCCACTAAATATGCTACTTCTCATTTTACTTCATAAATTATTCCTAAAGCGCACACCGTTTCCTTTCTTGTTCTACAAATATTCCTAAATGAAACTGTTGCATTCAAGTCAGAAAGAAGGAAAAGCCCCATACACTCATGGTCTTTTTAATGCACACAGAAAAGCAGAAAGAAGAAATGATTACTCATAGAGAAGGTTTCCATGGCAGCATCCTCTAACTGGTCCCAGACAGATCCTTTATCCCTCCCTTTACAATTCCAAGCAAGCAGCAACACGGCAGCAAGAGAGAATAAAAAAAAAAGACAAATCTAAGCATTTGCTATGGATTAGTGAGACAGATCGATCTGTTTTTCCACAAGAAATATTTCAAAATAGTTAAAGTGAGCAAGGAGTTAAAAATGATCAATGCTAGACTTTGCAATGATATCTCAAGATAGTACTTTTAAATATACATCTCAGGATTTAATAGTTTCTAAGATTAAACATCTTTAATCAAAATTAGTTTAAATCATAAATATTTATTGCCGTTATTGTTGTTGTTGTTGTTATTATTAATTCACTACAGGATTAAGGTTTCTTCATGAAATTTTATGGATAGTAGACATTGTAGAAAAGAACTCCCAACCTTTCCAGCTTGGCAGCCCGGAAGAAAAGGAGCAGGGAAATGTGCATACGCGCGACCCCTTGCGCACATGCGCAAACAGACACGTGTATGACAGTGGCGCTAGCGTGCGCTGGCACCCGCACACATGCATAAACAGGCCGCCGGCGCCCGTGTGCATGTGCAAATGGGCCGCTGGCGCCTGCATGATGCTGGCGGAGGTGCTAGCGTCCCCGTGAAAGGGCAAATGAGGCCGCTAGCGACCACGCAGCTCTGCTACCATGAGTGGGGGGGGCTCACCAGCTATTCCCAGGGCCCAGTGGCCAACAAGACACAGCCCGGTACTGGGCCGCGGACCATAGGTTGGGGACCACTGATGTAGAAGAAGAACTGTATTAGTCTATAGCAGCAAAAAAAAATCAGTTCTCATGAGCTGATTTTTTTGCTGCCATAGACTAATACAGTTCTTCGTTTATGCCTTTTTAGACAGTAATCTAACATCCAAGTCAAGTTCAGGTTGTTAAAAAGCAATCTTTTTGACTTCCTAGTCAAGAGTGAGGAGTACCTGCCCAGCTTTTAAAAGCAAATGAATAGCAAGAAATGCAAGAGCCACAACATTACTGCTGATCATCAGGGATGGCTTGAAGATTAATCTACTTCGGGAGGGGAGGGTTCTTTGCTTAGTGAATTTAACCTTCTCTAAATCTCATACAGTATTTTTTTTTCTTTTTTGTCTCCTCTTCTTTTGTAGGTGATTATCTTAAATTTGTGGTCTTCTTCCTTTCAGATAAATATGATAACCTATTTGCTCAGATCAGAGAAACATGTAAGCTAATTACAATGTTAAAGCCACCTTGAACAGAGCATAGAATAAATGAACACGCCAATATTTGCAAGCAAATGATAGTGCTTTGAAGAATACAATGAAGTTACAATTTGTATTGTAATGTGTCAGAGAATTCAGACATTATAAGAATTCATGGTAGCTTCACATTACTCAGTTTTATTTTGAAAAGCTCTAAAGACTAGAGAATGCACAAAATTAAAATTTTATTCTTACCAAGTAGACCCTCAAAGAGATAAACTCGTTGACTTGCATCTTCTGGAACTCTTCCAGGGCTGCTGCATTTATTATCTTTTATTGCTTTTTTCATACTCTGAGATTTGCCCTTTTAAAAAGGCAAAAATAGGACAGAAAATTCTTATTAGGTGGTTAATTAACAAGATGGTTCTTAAAATGAANAGGTGCGCTTGTGCAGTTATCATTTGTTGATTAGTGCTTGCAGTGAACTTTGAAGGACATGGATATATCTTACAAATATAGCACTAGTAGCAGAATTTGTTTCAATTTCACTGTCTGAGACGGTGCCTCGTGATCCTGTTAAATTTCCACTAATCTCTCCACCAAGGCCATCGCCAGCATTGCTGCTTAGGTCACTATCTGCTCCAAGCGTTTCTCCAGAACTGTTGCTCACCTGAAGAAGGAAACAAACAAATAAACAATCTATCTACTTATTGCTCAATATACTGCAAAGACAAAGATGCATTTACATCATCATTAAAAATAAACTAAATCTCAACATTGTACCATATGAACTAAAAATAAAATGGGAAGGTAGTGACTTGGATATGTTACAAAAGGATCCATACTGGAAAAACAGATCCAATATGATCAAAGGGCTTTTGGTTTAAGTCTTTATGTTACTTATTCAAAGCTACAACCCCCCCCCAATCTTGGGCCTCATTTTACCTATTAACATATTCACTGAATTTTTAACAATACATCAGATTCTGTGAAGCCCTGCAAGGGTGACAAACTCAGGAAACAAAACTTATCTAGATTTCTGGAAAGATCTTTAGTACTAGTAAGATAATGAAGCAGAATATTGGACAACAAGTAGAATCTTGAAGGCCTATCAAAGCATTCTCCAGATAAACGTCTATCTAGCATGATTGGTAGAGTTGTTCTATAACCCCATTCTTATTTTCCTTTATATTTATTATTAGATTTATTTATTAAATTTATTTTGCACCCATCTCACTATTGGAGTAACTCTAATTACTCCATGGCTAATTTAGAGATAAATTAGAGATAAATTTAATAAATCTCTAGTTCAATAATCTCTAACTTAGAAATACATATCCTCTGCAAACAAAGCTATAAAGTCAGAATTGTTAAATTTCTAATGAGTGCTACGGCGAACTTATGTCCCTAAATAGAGGGGTAATGTTACAACTGAATACTGGATCCAAATTGTTAAACTCTCTCCGCAAAAAGGAGAGATTGCAAGATGTAATCTGCACAGGTGTCCTTTTGTGAGTAGATGGCAGGAAATGAAGTTTTTGCAATTGACTTCTTGTAAGCTAGGAGTCGCAGGATTCCATCAAGCTTATAGCCATTACTGTAGCCTAGGTGCACTTTTTAATTAAATAGGTTTATTTTTTTACTGCTTCTTAAAGATTAAGAACCGTCAAAATGGCAAGTTTTATTGAATTCACTGGGTTAGTATTCTTCAATCTACTAGCTTAAAGATTTGTAAAAAAAAAATGGAATAATAGAGCAAAAGGATAATTCCTGTTGGTTTTAGAAATTTTTAAACAGATTAAGAGCCCCGAATTTTAAAAGAATCATTCCTGTGGGACGATTAAAATAAAGGGGTTGTTGTTTTTGGTAACGTTCAATGGATTTTTGCTAATCAGGACTGAATAATGTTTTAAAGACAAATAAAGGAGAATTATTTATAGCTCAGGACTGAAATGAGGAGCTCTTGGTGCTCTCTGAGCTTAGTTGTTTTTTTGGAGACATTTTATTACCCAACTAAATAACATCATGAGTGCGAAGAGAGAAAATAAGGGGAATATGTTTAAACAGAAAAGGAGATAGATAGATATAAAAAGAATGATTCAAATTTAGTACATATGGTTTGTAACGGTGATGTTGTTATTGCTGATAACTTTTAATGGATTTTTGCTGATTAAGGCAGACATGCTGATTAAGGATTTAAACCAGTGGTTCTCAACCTTTTTAATGCCGCGACCCCAACCGGTCGTAAGTTGAGGACTAAACCAGTCGTAAGTCGAGGACTACCCAACCGGTCGTAAGTCGACGACTTTCCCTGCCCGGGAGCACCCCACATGCATGGTTCCGCCCCCTGCGCCGGCCGAGGCGTAGCTGGCAAGCGGCAGAGATGGAGCAGGCCGACCACCAGCTGGCCCAGCCCAAGGGAGGTAAGGCACCTGCCGGAAAAGGGGAAAAAATGGCGGACAAAAAAATGGCGGACAGCCTTGCTTGGCGACCCCCGTGAAATGGTCGATCAACCCCAAATGGGGTCCCGACCCACAGGTTGAGAACCACTGATTTAAACACTGGTTTATAAAGAAGGGGTAAGATATGGATAGTGATAAGTTGTTAACATTGACTATAGTTGCTGAGAATGAAAGAGAGATCTTTTTTTCCCTTTTCTTCCTGAACTTTGTATTATTTTTTATTAGTTGTATTAGGTCATAAGTTATCAATATAAACATATATGACAACTTAATGTAAAATTGTAAGAATGAATAAGGCACTCATACCTTTTGGAAAAGGATATGTCCTCAACTAGAGGACAGATTTCAATAAAAATAAATACGTTTATTTTTAAAAAATATATACAGAGTTGAGGAGAAAGCATAACCAAAAGCATATACACAGCACCTGTAACTTACAGGGTTAGAAAAAAAATACACATAAACAAGGAAGTCTGGACAATAACTGTAAAATCAAATCAGACATTTCATTTTGGCATGCCCTACCACTGTGCTAACTTCAGAATCTTGGCTGGTGCTTCGGATCATAACAGCAGGCCCCACACTTGCCACAGAATCCAGATCACTCTTCTGAAATCATGAATTGACAGGAAGCAAAATAATACACATTAGACATTCCTGTTTCCATTTGTAAGCTTAGTCAAGTGATCTTTGGGAATTGGGGATAATTGGGGCAATTTTTCACCTGTCCAAATATCAACCAGATTAGAAAGGTTGAAAAAGGCATATCCATATTTGTCTAGACTATCACATCCACACTAAAAGACAGGATTCTTTTTACAAGGTGACAAAAGAGTTTTCACAACACACCCATTCCAAATTGAACAGCTACACTTACCTGAGAGCTAGAGGTTAAGCTTAGACCACTGTTAGCACTAATCTGGGATTTCTTTTCATCTGTCTCTCCCAAGTCAAAAAAGTGTTTTGTACCTTCTGACCCTAATTGAAGCAAAATAAACAATCGTATTAATATGAGAAGGAAGAATAAAAGAATTATAGGGCAGAAAACTGGAGCTGTGAATGGGTAGTCCAAAGAGGACCCACAGAATCTTCTTCTTCCCTATTTTTTCAATACCATGGATTAATAATGTAGCTCAGTTTTTCACAGCCAACTATTTTGTCCAAATGTCACTGTACCTGAGAAATAGAGAAATTATCTTAAACAATTATTACTAGGAAAGGAAGATGACAAAGCAGGCATTAAACATATTCAAATGAATACAAAGCATGCCAGACAGTCATCACATTACTCTGGACAGCCATACCTTTACCTTTTGTATGTAAGACTGGTTCCGTGCCTGTTGCTTTTTAGAAAGGAATATTTCTTACTATTCGACAATTTTTACACCATGCAAAACATTGATTTTTATTCCAATTGTTTCACTAGCAAATGGAAAAACTAACCAGCCAACCAAAAAGCAATAATCAGTAATTTGTGTGCCACAAAGAAAGGTAAAACATGACGTTCAGAGGGAAATTACAGAGCACTGAAAGGATGAAATAAATGGCTCTCCAGAGTGTGTAATAACAAAGATAAAACAGTAAGAGTGTACGTATCAGCAATTGACATGACATGCACTGATTATCCCATTCTCTTTATAAATAATATAGAAGCCGAAGAGATGCATGCAGTTCACCTTTTTAAAAACTCTTTTTCTGATGAAATGTTAGAAAATGGATGAAAGGAGAGACAGAATTGGGAAGGGTTTGGAAAACACTGTGCAATGGGAGT